ACTCACTCACTCACTCACTCACTCACTCACTCACTCACTCACTCACTTTTGGAGACATGTAAGCAGGGCAGTTGTGTGTGGGATCGTAAACAAAAAATGCTGAATATTGCAATAACGTCTAATAAAACGACCCTTTGGGCTGCCCTGGCTCCGTTCATGTTACTTTAAATCGCCCAAAGCTGCTGGTAACCGTTAAATTCAGCTCATTTGGATCAAGACACCAGGCTGTATATTGGCTTCTCAATTAAACTATATCTTGTGCGCTTTAAAATGAAATATGCACACTAAACATGTGCTGCCAAAGAGCTGTGCGATTCCTCCCTCTTTGGCACACGTTTTCCAGTTTAACCTCACTTGTTGCACATGTGAGAATATGACCCACGGTTCTGACTGCCCTATTTTCCAGTAACATGCCGTTCTTACCGTTTTCCACCTGGTGTGGGATTCCTCCAAATTATGCAAAGCAGAATACTTGAATACTTAATACTCGGGATAAAGTTGCTAAGTCGAGAACAACCTAATTTTCCCTTCTTTCCTTGGTCTCCCAAGACTGACTTGGAATATGGAGAGTGGAAACTAGTAGCGAAGGAGATATTTTAATGGTTTGCATGGCACGTATGCGCATGTGGCTTTGAACTCTAGCAGCCGGAGGTTCCTGCAGAGAGCGCCGCAAATCCCACTTGATAACTTCGACAACCCACAACGTTTTACGCACAGACCACGCATCACTGGCCTGCAAAGAAAGGGCGAGTTGCACGAGCACATAGGCAGCCAAGCCATGATGGACACATTAGGAATTGTGTGAGATCCAAGTCAAACACAGGCCTGTGGATCCAAGGTAAGCTTCAGGAACGTGGGCAGCCGGTGAGCGTGACGTGGAAATCTAAAGCACATATGTTCCACCAGTGTGGGACAAAGCATCAGAACAGAGATCGCGCGAGAGGAAGACAACAAAACTACGTGTGGATTCCGTTTGAGGTGAGAGGGAGAGCTGGATAATAGCAGGCCTCTGGAGGGTGATGACAGTGGTCAGAATTTATCTCAAACCACAGGTCTTTTCGAGGGACTCCGAGTCAGATATGTCCCAATTGTCTTTGCATACCTGGACCTGACACAGGTGATGATTCTGGGGAATGTTCCAGCCTGGCTGCTGCAGGTCCAGCCCACGTGCAGTATATCAGATCAGTGTCACATGATTTATCTTATATCTAATGTAAACAGACAATTCAAATCGCCCTGTCAGTGTTTAATTGCTCAAAACGTCACCAATTAGCCAACAAAGGGCCATGCTTTCTGGGTAATGTGTCCATACAGGTTAACAAAGACAATCTGACACTCTGTTTTTAAGCTCTCTGCAAAACGCTGCCGCAGAACGTGCTTTGACTTTCTATTTTCTGGAGAGAAAAAAAAAGCCAAGCCTGGTGTTACATGTCTCAACTTTTGTTTTGCCTTTTAACCAAATCCACAGTCAGCAGTCTCACAATATCTGGGACTGATGATGCAAAGAGGCCAATAGAAGCGTGGGCCCCGTACCGTGGATTGTTATTCGGTGAGTGCATGTTATTGGGGGGAAAGGAGTTCCGCCAATGGACGAGCGGCGCTGGTGCCACGTGACTGCCCCCCTCCTCTTCCATTCATCAGGGCTGGACTGTGTTGTCTTTTCAATTCATTTATCTGCAGGAATGATTGCGACTATCAGTCTAGAGCTCACCGCCTGACTGAGGAGGTGAAAGTTGCGCCCCAGGAAGATAAACCGCAAAAGACAATATTGCATGTATAGCTGATTCTGCGCGTGCATCGGATGACCGGTGTAGGGGAATTCCTCGCGTCGTAGAAAAGTAAACAGAATATCGGCGGATTTGAGTTTGCCCAGTCCAGAGAGGTCCAAGAGATAGCGGCAGAGAGGGGGAGGAAGAATATCTGCGTTGGTTTTTTGAATTCCGCTCTCAGTCGTCTCGGCGAGTCAAGACTGAAGATGCTGCTGGACGCAGGACCGCAGTATCCCACCATAGGAGTCACTACTTTCGGCTCCTCGCGGCATCACTCAACAGGCGAAGTCACAGAGAGAGAAGTGGCGCTGGGGATAAACCCGTTCGCGGACGGGATGGGCGCCTTCAAAATAAACCACAGCTCCCACGACCTCGGCTCCGGGCAGACGGCGTTCTCCTCCCAGGCGCCCGGCTACGCGGCGGCCGCCCTGGGGCACCACCACCACCCGACCCACGTTGGCTCTTACTCGACGGCGGCGTTCAACTCCACCAGGGACTTTCTGTTCAGAAACCGGGGCTTCGGGGACGCGGCCGGGGCGCAGCACAGCCTGTTCGCCTCCGGGAGTTTCGCGGGGCCGCACGGACACTCGGATGCGGCGGGGCACCTGCTCTTCCCCGGGCTGCACGAGCAGGCGGCCGGCCACGCGTCCTCCAACGTGGTCAACAGCCAGATGCGGCTGGGCTTCTCGGGGGACATGTACGGCAGGGCCGACCAGTACGGCCACGTTACGAGCCCGCGCTCCGACCACTACGCCTCCACCCAGCTGCACGGCTACGGCCCCATGAACATGAATATGGCCGCGCACCACGGAGCAGGGGCCTTCTTCCGATACATGAGGCAGCCCATCAAACAAGAGCTCATCTGCAAGTGGATCGAGCCGGAGCAGCTGACGAATCCCAAAAAGTCGTGCAACAAAACTTTTAGCACGATGCACGAGCTGGTGACCCACCTGACGGTGGAGCATGTGGGGGGACCCGAGCAGACCAACCACGTCTGCTTCTGGGAGGACTGCTCAAGAGAAGGGAAGCCGTTCAAAGCCAAATACAAACTTGTAAATCACATCAGGGTGCACACCGGAGAAAAGCCCTTTCCGTGTCCGTTCCCTGGCTGTGGCAAAGTATTCGCGCGCTCGGAAAATCTAAAAATTCACAAAAGGACACACACCGGTAAGAACCGCTCAGACTGAGCGCCTTTTTACTGCCGAACCAATGCTGACAATATCACATCCAAAACATGCATGCAATCCGGGAGGTTATTTACTACAGCAGGCAGCTGGAATCTGCTCTGTGACATGTGATTCAGTGCAGTTGTCAGCTGAAAATATTTCAAAGGTTTGACATTTAAGATAAAAAAAACATTCGATTTTCTTCTCCTTTTTGCATAGACATTTAATTAAGTGAATTTGTGGGAAAGACTTGAAACGGTTTCCTCTAAATTATCTAGCCTCAGTACAGAGGAGAATGGCTGTGTGTTACACGTCAAAACAATTGATTTAAAAAGGCCTTTAATTCAAAGAAGGCAATGGTTTAATTGAAATTTTACAAGTTGGTTTTACGCGCTAAATTTAACCTCGTTTGTCGAAATGTGTAAAAAAAAAAAAAAAAACCTGATGTATATTTTTTCCCTGTTTGGATTATTTAGGTGAGAAGCCATTTAAGTGTGAGTTCGATGGCTGCGACAGGCGGTTTGCAAACAGCAGCGACCGCAAGAAACACATGCACGTCCACACGTCGGACAAACCCTATCTGTGCAAAATGTGCGACAAGTCCTACACGCATCCCAGCTCCCTCCGAAAACACATGAAGGTAACGCTCTCCTGCTTTATTCTCCTTTATTTTTAATCCTCTGTTTTGTTGCTTCTGGTCCTGACAGGAAACGGAGCCCGGCGGTTTAATAGTTTGTAATGTTTTCAGAAGAAATTACTTTTGTATTTTAAACAGAAATTCCCAAAGTGAATGTTGTCCAACTCTTCCATTTATTTAAAATCTGAAATACTAAATCAGATTGGGATCTTAATTAGAATAATTATGTTTAGATTGTTTTAGATTTCTAGATTAAACGGTGTGTTTAATTAGTTTTTACGAAATTCTTTGCACTTTTATTATGTTGGCACGGGGAACAAGCACACACACACACACACACTCACACACACACATAAAGCAAACCCCCTCAGTTGAGCAGGATCTTTTTTTAATCGTTTTTTTGTTATTTATTATAGGTTCACGAGTCCACCAACCCGGGATCGCAACCCTCTCCAGCTGCCAGCTCAGGGTACGAGTCCTCCACGCCTCCCACCATCGTGTCCCCGTCCACAGAGAACCAGAGCAGCGCGTCCATATCCCCCGCAGCCTCCGCAGTCCACCACACAGCCGGACACAGCGCGCTCTCGTCCAATTTCAATGAATGGTACGTGTAAATATTTTTGACAACAACAGAAAAAAAGGCAGAGGGAGGAATTGGGGGAAAAGACTGCAGAATTTTAAAAAAGAAAAAGGAGAAAGAACTGGACGTTTTTTTTTTTTAAAGTCAACCAGTGCAACGTGGACTGGGGGAAAAAATGCACACGGGAGGCCCCCAAAACGACCAAGGCTGTTTTTAATGTGACTGAAAGAGAGTGCATGGACAAAAAGGAAGGCACGGACAGCCACCACGTTACCCCCCCCCCCATCTCCCCCCCTCAAGTATTTCATTGAGTCTTTATTTTTACTGACAGACTGCTCAAAAAGAGATCTCAATAAGCATGCTATCTCCGGGTAGAAGCCTGAATTTTTGTACATATGCGGATTTCACCGAGTTGGGGGGTGGGGGTGGGGGGGTGGGGAAATGTAATATTTTATTTTGTAAATAGCTCTATCACAGTCTAAGGGAATTTGTGGAAATGTGGTCCCTAGATATATGGAGAATTGAGATGGTTTTAAGAAAAATTGCGACTTCATTGAAAAGAATGTTAAAGTTGTGTACCAAATGTGAATTATTCAGTATTACTACAGTCTACACGTCGACCTAACCGACTCTTAGTATTAATGTGCTTTTGTAGCCTATCCAGTGCAACATTTTCGTCCAAGGTCCAGTTTGAGTAGCACAGTATCATTGTTGTTATTTAATGTCATGTCGATAAATCGTGTAGTGGAAGCCTGAAATTCCGTGTCAATCTGTTTATGTACGTGATAATTATATATAAAAAAATCTGTCAATTGCTTTGTCTGAAAGGAAGTATTATTACATGTAAGTAGCTCAATTTTCCATATTTATCCGCATGTAAAGGACCGGTAACATGTTAGAAATGATCGGTATTTATGGAGAAATGCGCTCGTGTGTAAAATTTAGTTTACAACAATAACAAAAAAAACATTTGTTTGGATACATTTCGTACTATATTAAAGGATTAAAAATACAATAATGCAATGCCTTGGAGGTTATTGGTTTCAGTAGTGTTTGGGTTGATCCTAACATGAGTGCTGTGTGAAACTAATGGATTTCTTTTTTTTTTCCATATGTAGAAAAGATCAAAAATAATCTCCTGCTGCAAACCAAAACAGACCTTTTCCACTCACAACAAAGCGTTTAACGTAGGATTTCTGCACGTTTAGCTGCATGCATTAGTTGAACTCTCAGCAGTGTGTGTGTGTTTGCTTTTCACGAGCGTGTGTGAGGCATCAGCTCATTTAAAGTCACTGTTTTAAACACACTGTTACAACTTTTTCTGACACTCGATAATAACTCGCAAATTCACCCCCCCCCCCCCCGCTCTCTCCCTCTCTCCCTCCCACCCCCCCTTCATCTTCTGTTTCTCCAAAATTAACATCCAACACTTTGCCCTCCAGTAATGTGCAAATTCAATCGATTAATCACGGAGGTTGTTCCTCAGTGTATAAACCATCGTGAGCTATTTTGCGTTACTTAATTGTTCGGGAATCTAATTTTCAAAATCTAATTTGTTTTCCTTTGCTGCGTTTCGCCAGATTTACTCAGATTCAGGGAGAGCCCGGGAGTGAGTCAGTGTGGCCCCCTCATTGTTCCTGGCTGCAGCTTGCTTGACCGCCCCATTAGGCAGAGATCACATCAGCAGCCGCCACCGATCATGGTTAACACTGGCAGATCCACGATCCGCCAGCCCGCAGCTTTGTCAGAACAGCCGCACTCAGAAGGAAAAAAAACAGCCCTGCGCGTTGCAAATTTTAACCTTAAAAAAGGCAAAGAGCCCCACACATAGCAGCAGAGGAGGTGTGCACCTCCCTGCGTTTGGACGCGCGTCCGCCTTTATGTCAGAAAAAAAACCCAAACAGAAATACGACTCCCACCATTTTAGATGATTCGATGAAATGTATTGAAATGTATTCATATTTTCTTTTCACGGACTATTACATGTGGAGATAAATGAAGGATGGCAATAAAATGACTTTTTCGACTCTATTTAACACTATCTGTCTGGGCCCGGGCAGACGCTCCACTGACGCGCGCCACGCCGCGCGAGTTCGTCTGAGAAAGTCACTTTGCAGCTTTATATGGGGGAGAAAATGTGCGCGTTAGTGAAAATATAAATATATCAAAGTGGATGTGTTAAGACTGTCTCGTGTCCACACACATGCGCGCGCGCGTGCGCACGATCCGTTTAAACGTGAAGCCAAAGTGACAAATGCGGAGATATAAAGCCAAATCCAGTCAAAATAGGAATCATTTAAATTCCACTCCAGGAAAAAAAAAAGTGTTTTAGAGTCTAATATTGATGGAGAAATACTTTCCTCGGATATGTCAGGAGTTGTGTTTGGATTCGTGCTCATTTGCCTCATCATGGATCCTTATTTCTCTGAGTGTTTTGGTCTTTTCTCGCTGGAGAAAGAGGCAGCAGACGCTGCTCCCTCTGCGTACCGGAGGCAGGGGCCTCCACTCCGCCGTTTAATTTCTGCTTTATGGTTCTGTCGTGTTACCTTACACTGAACGTGCTCTCCGTGAAGAAAATAAAATGCTCGTAAAAGACGTGTTGACGACAAGCTGCGGCTCTGTGTCGCTGCCGGTGACTCCAGATCAAATAGGAGCGCAGGAAAAACATCCACTTCAAATGTATTTACGCTCAAGTCTGGAAATGACAGTGGCTCAGATTTTTTTTTGGGAGGGGGGGGGGGGGGGGCGAAACGCAGGCACCAGGCTCATGAATATTTATTAGGAGCACTTGTGGCCAGTAAACCGAGCCTGACGTGCGCGTGAGCAGAGGTTCAGACGCTCTGAGGCCCGGCTCCAGACCCCCAACACACACGTTCAAAAGTAGGAACTGTCTGTTTCACGACATACAACATTCGGTGCGTGGATGTGGGCGATCACGGCAGGTTTTTAAAAATCAAAACTAAAAAACACGAGCTCTCTGTTCCATTTAGAGGTGGCTGCGTTTGGCAGACTCAGCTCAGATTTCTTTTAGAAGACTCGATATGGGTTTGCTGGTGAATAAAACTTTTTTTTTTTTTTTGGGGGGGGGGGGGACTCTTTTTCCAGCGTGTAGAGAATCTGACACGTGGAGCCCAAACTCTGGTGACGGATGGGCTGCCGTCACTCAGTGAGAGCTAAATCGATAAGTTAAACATTGCCGTCGCGGTTTAACCATTGACTCTCTGGCAAAGGGGAGCGTGCAATTCTTTTTAAACCAAAGGCGAACCCATTTACAAATCATCACAAAAAAAAAATCTTGTTTGAAACTAAACAAAACGCCAGCAGAGTTCCCATCTGCTCTGCTCTAAGAGTCCTCGAACAGAGAAGGTCAAATCCAAGTCAAGGCCACTTTACTTTATTGGCGTGGAGACGTTTCCAAAACGCCTCCGAGAAACCATGTCTTATTTGCAGCCATAAAACGATTGCTCTGCTAGGGTCTGAGTAGGTAATGGAGCAATCCATCCCACTGAGAACATCTGAGTTTGCATACAACAGTGATCCAGGGGTGGAATTTAAAAGAAAAAGTCTGCACATGGACGGTGTGCAGAGAGACCCTTATGCTGTTTGAACGCGTGGTTTCGGTATTTTTCTTTTTACTATTACATTTAGACTTGCAGCGACCGGAGTCCTATTTATATATTTACACATTTAAGTACGTGGGATGTCATCACAGCCCAAGTTTCCAAAAGACTTGTGTTTAGATGAACATGTCAGCTCGTTAAGAGCTCAGATTCGCTGTGGCACAAACTTTGACTTCCGCTGATTAACTCGTTTTTACTGACACTGCCTCCAAATGCGTTATTCCTGACTAACCACACATATTTTATGGACTCCTGAGTTGGTCACAGGACCTCCACATGTGTATTCCACAGGGACCCGGGCTGGTGGGGGGAACGCGGCGTTTTCCTCTGAGAAACAGCATCCATCAATCTTTTGGAAAGGGATGTCAAACTGTTGCCAAAGGATTATTACCCTTCTTTTAAACAATACTCTCTACTCTAATATTAAGCCTGTTTCCTCAGTTCCGTGTTAATCCATAGCAGAGCTGTTTTATATATATATATTTTATTTAACCACATCACTGATTGGAACATTAATCTCGGCAGCCGGGGCTCGGGAGCTGGAGAGGGTTCGTTATAGTGAAGCATAGTTGCACGGTGACCCCCAACGCATCAGTCGTGATGTCTGACACGCCATTAAGCGGTGGCCGGGCCGGGCCGGGCCGGGCCGGGCCGGGCGGGAGATTTGTGGAGGCGCTGACACGGTGTCGCGGCGTCCCCTCTCTGACGTGTCGCTAAACGAGGCCTCTCCAATTAGCGCTGTGGGACCGCAGCACACCTCTGCCGAAAACAAACACCCGGCCTCCTCCCTGTTTACCCGGCGAGAGGACGTTCGGCTCGCACGCGCGCGAACCCAAACGACGTTCCGCGTGCGTCAGCGCGCAGTTCCGGAGGCGATTCAAAACCAGGAAATGGTGCCGGAGGCGCGAGAACTTCCGGTTCCAGGTTCTGGCCGAGGCCCTCAAAATTTAAATAAAGTAGCTTTATTTTATTTTATTAAAAACGTGTTTAAAATATTTTAAACAAAGTCCTGTAGGTTTAAAACTTAAGATTCACTCACGTGCGGATAAAAACTGAATTTTCTGCCTATTGTGAGACCTAATGGCAGCGATGGATCTTGTCTTTCTAATTTGGGTGGAACTCTTTTAAGAGCCTTATTTTGATTTAATGTGTTTTCCATAAAAAAAAGAAGGAAAAAAAGAAATGTGATGCATATGGTGCGTTAGGCACTGCTGAATGGAGAGAGGTCTTCTCGCTTGCGGAGCAGCTTGTCGACATCTGTTTATCTGATGAGTCTGAAAATGACTCCTTATTTCGCAACGAGGATGACCAGCCAAAGATAATCAGTGGCAGATTTCCACTGGACCCAATTGTTTTTTTGTTTTTTTATTGTCGAAATGAAGGTGGCCTGGCCTGGCAGAAAACACTGAATCTTCAAAGATTCATTTTTTTCCCTCTTTTTCTTTTTACAGCAGTGGGTCGAATGTGAATGGATGTTTGGCTGTTTTCTCTGTACGGAATTTAACAACGAGGCCATAAAAACCCGTTTACT